TTTTTTATATTATGTTCTCAGCTAATTTATTTACACAAATCCTTGCCTTTCAAATTTAACAAAATATTAATTTATTGTACATAATAAAAGGTGTATATTTTTTCATTTACTGTATTTGTGTTCGAGGACAATAACACATTATGTGTGTATGTATACTTGGATGTATTTAATGCTTGATATATTATTTAAAAAATAAAATATGCCATACAGTTAGGTATATTTGTATCGTTATATTCAATAATCTATGTACATATGTATGTATATATATCAACAATTGTGCTGCTTATGGAAAATATAAGTGAAGCTTCTCATCACTTTTTTTTAGTTTTGTTTTCGTTTATGTGCAAATTAGTGTGCATTTACAACTACAATATAAAAAAAGAGTTAGGTCGGCGGACAAACAACTTATTAAAGTAAACTAGAAAAGCCTATCTGCATTCAAACATTTACTTAATTGATTAAATTTGCGAATGTCGTCAAAAATATTTTTCGATTTTTTGTAGGAAAACAATTTGATAGCCACATATATTTGCACTTCGTTACTGATTTATAGGCAATGCATGTTTGTTAGTGCACGCATTATTTAGGCCACATAAGCGCGCACACATTTCTAGCTGTCAGAAGTGATTACATCACAGTCCACCTGCTTACTTGCTACGGCTAGCGAATTCACGATATTGTTTGTTTAATTGTTCCAGGAAGATGAATGTCAGCACTGTATGTGGACCAAGACGACAGAAATACGGTGTGAAACCTTTCCATAACGCAAAGAGACCTTCTTGACGTGCCACCTTGAGCAGCACATCGATGGTGCCACTATATTCCGGCTTGGCGCCAGGTGCTGTCTTCATATTTTGTATACGAGTCTTGGCAATGTCCAACGGCATGGAAGTGATTGTTGTGAGAAAACCACTCAACATACTTGAGCAAAAATGCAGTCCAATGCCTTCATCCATCTTGAGTGGTCCATTTTTGAAGTAGTTTTTGAATTGCGAATAGGAAGCCAACTGTGTCATATTCACCACCATAGCCCGGCCCATAGTAGGAATGCTGCCACGCCACAATGCTGTCACGCCTTCTTCACGCGTTATGCGTGTCAGCGCATTTAACACATTGGAATAGTTGCGCCGCTCCGCTGGCGGCAGACGTCCATCACTGGCCATACGAATAAGTGCGACCTCAGCTGGCGTACCGATGAAGGCGCCCATTGCGCCGGCTATAATACCCATGCCCATGCTATCCAATATACCGGGCGTGCGTTTAAACGTAGTTTGATAGAAATCCTGCAAGTATGTATAGACACCAAGCCGGCCTGTTGTATAGGTTGCCTGACGCAGCAGCGCTGCTCCAATGCCCTTATACAACCCCAAGGGGCCTTCATTTTTGACCACCTTCTTAATGCAGTCCAATGAGTTTTCATATTCTTTTTTACCACCGCCAGCACCTGAGATTTGCATTCTAGTCTTCACCAAATCCAATGGCTGCACAATGCAGGTGGCACCCATGCCTGCAATACCTCCGAAAAGGAACTTCAAACCACCTGGAATCGGAGCCGGAGCCTTGGGTGAGGCAGCTGCTGCCTTTTGTTCGCCTTGACTTGACATTTTGTACTTTTGCAACACACCGCGCGACCGATCTCCTACTTCAGCGTATCTACCACTCCAAACTATCCACAAACAGCACTCTGCACCTACTGAATTGTT